CACTGTTGTATCTATTCCAGAAAACATTTTCTCATGCCTTTTTAACTCCCAGTGCCTGTTACTTTTGGTAGATTTTCATCTCCACAAGAAATTTAATCCACAACTAAAAAGTTACCGTGTAACTCACAGGTTACTCTTCAACTCATTCTTGTCATTCTTCCAATTCTCCACTCCTCCCCCTTGCACCTTTTCTTGGGCTTAGAGGCAATAATTAAAAGAAGAGTGTTTAAGAGTGGAATCTACCTGCAGAGCAAAGGAAAAGCCAGCCAGGAGGGGAAAGAACACTGAATGCTGGAGCACAGACTACGGGTGAAAGTAAGCTACACCAAGCCCTACTTCCAATATCTCTTATTTCAAACAATGTGCGTACACGTAAGAACTTCAAAAAAGTAGAGATCTTGTCCTAAAAATATTAGATATGGCTTCCAAAATAGTTCTAACACAGATAGAAAAAGTAATTCTTTACCTGGGACCACTTATGTTGTGCTCTGAAAGATCATTAGCTGACACTATTTTATAGTTCAATAAAATAAACTCCCCTCTGCAAACACCAAACTTTCAACAGTTTTGGCCGGACACCAATTTCAGCACAAATTCAGCGTGCCCCCAGCCTCTAATACAGCTCTTTACATCAAGATGTTGCATAGATGTATTTTGTAATTTAATTCTTTAGCACAATGTGTTACTGGAAAGATTGGTGCTTCTGTCCAAAAAAAAAAAAATGAACAAAGATTAAACTTGATTAATCATTACTGCACTGCCCATATGCTCCATTATTTCTTTAAGAGATCTCCAAACTCCACAGCACATATTCCAATTCTGCAGAAAGCAAATAAGTATTTATTTCTGTTGCCGGGGTCATTATTGAGTAGACATATTCTCTGTGGTACTTCCAACAGTAAAAAAAGATTGAATATCTACCCCATATAAATCAAAAATAGAAATCTAATGCTAAATTCTGTCAGAAATTTATTCCTGCTCTGGCAGGGGGTTGGACTGGATGGTCTCCAGAGGTCCCTTCCAACCCCATGTCATTCTGTAATACCTCACAGTTGTGTTCTGAAGCCTGAGAATAAGAAGCTTGTACTCAAACAAACGGGCCCAAACTGAAAACAGTTTCAAAAAGTGATAAACATTTAAAAAACAAACAAACCCTTATGAACAGACATTAAGAATATGATGAATTGGAATCATTGAGTTTTTATGAACTGGAAAAACTAAGACACGCTGACCCGACTGCACTGTTATTTTCACCATGGTAAATGGCTCATTGTAGGACGCACCCCAGGTATAAGCACTAAAGACATTTTTTAGCAGATTACCAACTAGAAGGGAAAACAGTAAGATAGGTGGTAACATTCAGGGTGAAGAAACACAGCTATTTTAAGGTAGCTAAAACTGGAGAAGGCTTGAAAGCTTCAGTAAGAGTAAGTAAATGAAGTAAAACGGGACACGCAATATAAAATCCATCTCAACTTCATGGAGTTTTTTGAAGCTCACCAAAGTGCTACTTTTTTGTTAAATATAAACTCACTGGAAAAGCAGAGTGAGAAGAAGGAGAAGCTGACATATCCTCATGGACACCTGGTAGGAAAACTCACAATCGGCAAGGAGCAGTCTAACATGTTTGATTTACAGGGACAAGAGAGGTAGCAAACAGCTCAGAAAGCTTTTATTATTATCTAATGCTTACCTAGAGGTACCCAACTGGAAAGTCCATTCACTATAGAACTCAAGGTAGTGGCTTTTGGGGTAGATTTTTGTAGTCAGAGGAGTGTTCGTGAATAGGCTTCCCTTCCACAGTATCTACGGTATTTTGTTCCCCTCACGAAACCACCAGATAACCAAAAACCATGATCAAGGACACAGCAAGTCACTTAGCATGTAACTGGACATCTCCTAACTACAGCAGGTGTTGGTTATCCTCATCAGCACATGACAAAGCATAATAGCAGTAGCTCGTTCTTTCCTTTTTAGCAACTAAAGGGACAGCACACTCCTTAGCTTTCATCATAAGATTTTACTATTTTCTTTTTCTTTTCACAGCACTGTTGTACTTATTCCAGAAAACATTTTCTCATGCCTTTTTAACTCCCAGTGCCTGTTACTTTTGGTAGATTTTCATCTCCACAAGAAATTTAATCCACAACTAAAAAGTTACCGTGTAACTCACAGGTTACTCTTCAACTCATTCTTGTCATTCTTCCAATTCTCCACTCCTCCCCCTTGCACCTTTTCTTGGGCTTAGAGGCAATAATTAAAAGAAGAGTGTTTAAGAGTGGAATCTACCTGCAGAGCAAAGGAAAAGCCAGCCAGGAGGGGAAAGAACACTGAATGCTGGAGCACAGACTACGGGTGAAAGTAAGCTACACCAAGCCCTACTTCCAATATCTCTTATTTCAAACAATGTGCGTACACGTAAGAACTTCAAAAAAGTAGAGATCTTGTCCTAAAAATATTAGATATGGCTTCCAAAATAGTTCTAACACAGATAGAAAAAGTAATTCTTTACCTGGGACCACTTATGTTGTGCTCTGAAAGATCATTAGCTGACACTATTTTATAGTTCAATAAAATAAACTCCCCTCTGCAAACACCAAACTTTCAACAGTTTTGGCCGGACACCAATTTCAGCACAAATTCAGCGTGCCCCCAGCCTCTAATACAGCTCTTTACATCAAGATGTTGCATAGATGTATTTTGTAATTTAATTCTTTAGCACAATGTGTTACTGGAAAGATTGGTGCTTCTGTCCAAAAAAAAAAAAATGAACAAAGATTAAACTTGACTAATCATTACTGCACTGCCCATATGCTCCATTATTTCTTTAAGAGATCTCCAAACTCCACAGCACATATTCCAATTCTGCAGAAAGCAAATAAGTATTTATTTCTGTTGCCGGGGTCATTAATGAGTAGACATATTCTCTGGGGTACTTCGAGCAGTAAAAAAGGTTGAATATCTACCCCATATAAATCAAAAATAGAAATCTAATGCTAAATTCTGTCAGAAATTTATTTTTGTGCAATTTATACATATACATGTCCTCAGTTCCTGCTCCAGACTCTCTATTGCTCTTTTTCATGCCACTGCAGCTATGGATTAGCAAGTAGTGTAGCACAGGCAGATGTGTGGGTGCTGAGGACTCAACATCCCCACTACATCCATCCAAAGGTGCTTTGCTTAAGGCTAGATCTAACCTGGTGCTGTGGACCCAAGCAACACAGCTTCCATTTTCATTTCAGCCAGAAGAAACACTGTGCAGTCTAAGCAAGCTTAGACAGTAGGAGAAGTCCAGGAAATTCACTTTACAAGTGCATGTTCCCAAGCTGAACTGCAAAGCTGAAGTAGACCTATCCATTGAGCTCAGAGATGAAGACTAGAGACAAGCAAAGCCCCTGAAGCACTTAGAGAATGAACGTTAGCTCCTCAGCATCCTTCTCCAGAGCTGCTCCTCTTGTGCCACAACACTTGCTAACCATATGACAGGATCTTGTACTGCCTGCCCCTGCTCACGTGCCAGATGTAGATGTCCATAGCTCCGTCCTGCATCACCCGACGTTGTCCCATGTCATGGTGGTGCTCATGCACACAGGATGGCAGGGGCCAGCACAGGGCAGAGCCACCACACACCCTGTACCACACTGCTCTCCACCTCTGCCCTCAGACTGGCATCCACAACACTGTGGGTGGAAGAGTTTCAGGGTCCCAGCAGAAATGGCCTGTTGCTGCCACTACTGAAATGATTCCTTCCAGCCTTGTTTTCAAACAAGTCTAGGGGTAGAAGAAGACACTAAAGCCATCCTTCCTTCCACCAAAAGAAATATAGGTTCCTAGACCCTCCCAAAACTCAGGTCGCTTCCAAATTTCTGTTTTGTCACTGGAATACAAAAGTATCTGGAAATATTCTACACCCGTGGGTGTGAGTGCTGATTTTTTAATTATTATTTTATTTCCCTCTTAGTTCTACCCCTTGAACGGGGGAAGCAGAGAACATCCACACTCCCTTGATGTTTGAAGGGGGCATATATTTCAAAATGCTTTAGAACAGACACACCTAGAAAACTCTGTTCCAGCTATGTCTCAAATCCACCTTTAATTTGACTTCTAAACTGGAGTTCAAGTTTTCAAAACTGCTAATTCATCTAAAAGTGATACAGGTAAATGACAGTACTTCAAATATATACTCCAACGATTCAAACAGGATAATAACAATAAGTTAAAAAATCTGAACTTAGACTGCCCCAAATCCCAATTACACTGTGCTTATAATTCTTTGTGTGACTGTATTTACTTAGCAAACAGATATTTATCTTACTCTATTATTTACATTAACCATAGACCTTAAGGGAAAAAATGCTATTAATTCAGTCACTCTCAGAATTTATTTAAAGAATAATTCAACAAAAAGATACTCCCTCTACTATGTGTCACTGTGGCATCTCTTTCTGCTTTAAGAGTCCCTGTTATACTAGCCAGGATTACTCCATTTATTAGTTTCCCAGATACCCCTACAATTAACATCAGCAGAAAGTCGACTTCTGTTTCTGGATGACACTCAGGTGAAAGAGATTACCAAAAAAATTTTTGCTAGTGCAGGGAAGGAAATGATCAAGGCCCTTTCTCTCCGTGCATCAGCTAGCACCATTAGTCACCAGCTATCAATCCCTGATTTTGTGCCTATTATAGTGGCTACAGAGTAAAGGTAAATGTAAGAATTTCAGTTTCTACCAGCTGGTAAGGATCACCAACCGAAGCAGCAAAGGCAAACAGCATGTTACAAACTGCATGGCACAGCACCAGCATTCCTTCCTCTAGCCCAAGATACACTGCTGTGCCCCAAGGCAGAGAACCAGATCACTGATTCAGTAACCTGACTGCAGTGTTGATTTTTTACTAAAAGATCCTCACCAGCACACCCGTATAGAAGTTACATTGTCATGTACATTACTCAATAATTTAGTTTCCAAATGACTTGATTGACATTAAGCAATATTTACCTGCTTCTTCTTTAATAAATGACAAATCTTCTTCTGGATATGGGACTGACGGTTGCAACACTGAGCAATCTTCCGAGTTCTCCTCAGTATTAGGTGGTATATTATAAATAAATCTCTTTGCAGTTTGGTTTTTCCTTCTTGCTTTTCCAGGTTCTTGAACTGATTGTCCCTGTGCACCCATGTCATTCCATACAAAAACTTTTCCCTCACCTTGAGATTCATTTTCAGCCATTTCAGGTGAGCTGTCCTGGACCCAACCGCAGTCATTCATTTGGTAGCTTTCCATTTGGCTCTCATCAATAGAGTACCCATCGTTCTCAGTTTTTATGCTACTCGCCAAGTTGGTAAGGTTTCGCGTTGCCCAGAAGCTGGCAACTTTCTGATCCCTTGGAGATAAACCATCCCTACTAACAGATCTTCTGTTGTAATCCACAACAACGGTCTCTGGAGCTTCTGATTTTATACTTATGTTTAAGGCATCTTTAATGAAGTTGCGGCAGGACTGGACAACCTCCGTCATCTGAAGGTAGCTGGCCACCGACATCACTTCAATGGCATTTTGGCTCGTAAGTACGAGGTTACCAGAATATAAGAAGTCCAAGATGACAGAAAAACCTTGAACAGCAACAACGTCTAAATAGGTAACAGTGGTTTGGTTACGGCTTTCTTTGTTTGTAAAGCAATACAGAGTCTTAAAGAAGCGGCTGCCTGCAACCAAGATGTTCTTGTGAGCTCTGAAGACCCTCCCGCTCACCACAATATTCACATCACAAAGAATGCCTTTCTTCCTCTGCTCGTTGAGCTCTTGCAGGAGCTGATAGCAGTAAGAGTTCTCATTTGGCCTGCTGTTAAAATCACAGTATCCTTCATTATTCAGTTCTGATGGTAACTCTGACTCCTGCAATTAAAAAAAACAACAAACAAACCCACAACCATAATTAGCTCTTAATGAATGCTCTCCTTAGTCTTCTCATATATATATATATATGTAGTAGACATAGTTCTTACACAGTTCTACACATTAGTCATTTATACTTTAGTTTCTAATCGTGGCAGACTTAGGATTGAATAGCCGTATTACATGACAAGGGAACAGAATACTGCAGGAGAACAAAACTTAAGCTTTCATTACATGATTTAACTATGATTTTATTGAATCAAGCTTTGCCAAAACCGTCCAGTAGCAACACCTTTAACTGGTACATGCAGACAACACGGGCTTATTTGTCTCTCTAAAACCTTTTTAAGACACCATCTCAAATGTGGCTTGAAAATTCTGCTAAAAGTAGTTTCAGACAGTCCAGCTCCAAGAAATCGGTTGTCACTGAGGATTAAGACAGACAGTAAGAAGCTGGGAAATCACAAGAGAACTGAACTGGATTTTAGAGCATTTACAAAACTACTAGCTGACGTTTAGACATCGATGATTCAGAGCTGCTACACAGAAGCAGCTAGGAGAAAGCAGACAACACAGACTGACATATTTGAGAGCATACTTAAATTGATTGGCACGTGCTGCCACCAAGAGCAGTGATGATGACAGTCTGTTTGATACCGGAGCTCTAAGACCCTCTGTTCTTCCCTAGCAAATAAGGACAATTCAAAACTGGCTGGCTCCAATATGGTGTAGGATAATATTTGCAAATTATATCATTATTTTCTTATTTTCCAAAACAACTCACAGATTTGAGGGCTGGAGGTATTCATAGAATCATAGAATGGTTTGGGTTGGAAGGGACCTTAAAGATCATCTAGTTCCAACCCCCTGCCCTGGGTATTGTTAAAGCTGAACTGCCTCAACATTACAGGTCAAAATCAGCATTAACAAAGCAGTGTTAACGCCCATAGGCTATACTGGGGCTAAAATGTATGTTGCAGAAAAGCACCCTCCATTTGAAACTATAACAGAAACCAGCTATATTAAAAACCCCAAACATTACTTTCCACCGCACGGGAATTAGAGCATTGAATCAGTACTCATCTCAAATTATAATCCCAGTGTGGATCACTGGGATGACAAATGAGCCTGTAACTACGTCCTCTAGAATGGTATTTACATCTATAAGCAGCAAGTAACGTTCAGCATTATCAAAATAGAAACTGTAACATTTCAGCATCTCCTGCAGAGATTTTTCAGTTTGCATTCACATTCAAGTTGCTTCTAAATCTCTACCCTTCTCATAAAAACACTTCAGTGAAAAGAAGAGGTAGAAATAAAAGCAATTGGGCTCTTATGTGAAAACAAGCAATGGATCTTTGATCAACATTGGCTTACTTTGTTTCAGAGCTCTGAATTAAAAAAAAATATATATATATATAAAAAATTATGTCCCAAACGTGTGACCGCTAAGTTTGTCATTAAGTTCTCAGCAGATTTCGGACCCGGACAAGCTTCCTGTGACTCCAGCAATGGAGCACTGCACAGTTTTAAGACACAAATTACACTGACTTTGGATCAGATTAAGATGAAAATTATCATGCCCTAAAGTGCTATCACTCTAGTCACAGTGACTTGCATCTCACACAGTAAATGTTAGGTAGATGCTAAGATAACTAACAATTTCATTCTCTGGGAACATGTTAAGCACCATTTAAAATTAATCTGCAGAAGTTCTTATCTTTTTTACAAATGTCTGATTAACGAATAGAGTACATTTTAACTGAGCATGTGTAGGTATCCAATCAAGCTGATAAAGATTTACAATTTATTTTTTTGTTTTCTTAAGAAAATGACAAACCAGCATGGTAAAAAGGAATACATCACAAGTGGGCTACAGAAACATAAGACTTTAGTCTTCATTATAAGAAAGACAGAAGGCTGAGCAAAAATAAGAGACATCATGCAACTAATGTCCAAGCTACAGGGATGTGTGTTGGGGAAAGAGATCAGTATTACAGCTTTATAGAAACAGGTACATAAAGATTCTTAAAACTAACTGTAATACTGGAAACAACTGTTTAACTGCTGGCATGGAAGCAGCTAACCCTAATGCAACACCTCAAATGAAACAAAACCCCGACATCTGAACAGTTATCAAGCCTACATATACCGAGTGTGACAGCAGAAGTAACATTTACTATGATAAAAATGAAAAAAAATTAATAGCCCTTGGAGAATTCTAAACACCTCCCTTTTGTAGAGAAAAATACAGTACAGATCAATGGGATGTATTCTATACAGTTAAGGTGGAAGCTTCTATTACTTACATTGTAACAGATGTAAGATGTAATAGATTGTAATAGATGTAATAGATGTGCTCGTGGCACATCATCGTAAGGGTATGATGTTTTTCTGATGAGAACCACAAACTAACACTGCTTGCTTAGATGTCAACTATATTTTCAAAATACAGACCAAATATTCCCATCACCTGAGTTATCTCAACACCAAACCAGCTTATCCCTTAACAAAAATTGATATAAAATCTAGAATAGAAATCAGGACTATTTCAGTTTGATTTGTGGAATCTACAGCCTTGTATGTCTGACAAGCTTATCTCTGTAGGCGAGATGAAGAAGCTGCCTAAAAGAGCGGAGTCTGCTCAAGGCAACTAATATTGTGCTCAGTTTCAAGTAGTTAGACTCATCTGAATACAACCAAAGATAAATGACTATCCATATGTATAATTCACTAATTAGATTTGCCTAAAAGCTAACAGGAGCAGAAACAGACGATCAAAAACCGCTACTAGAAACCCATTTTTCTTTCTCCTCCTGTGCCATCAGCACACTCTGTCTCCTGAGAGCAAGGACGGGAGGGCAGGGTAGGGAGAAGGAAAAAGAAAAAAAGAAACCAAAAAAGAACCAAAACCAATCTAACCCTAGATTCCATCTCAGCTGTACGTATAGGAAAAGTAGTTATTTTTGTAATCCTTTCCCCACTACCACACCTTTCTCTACAGCAGTTCCCCGTGCCCTCAAATTAATTCTAATCCTGAAAAATGGATCCTCTGACAAAAGTGAGCTATCAGGAGCTTCTTAAGCACATGCAGCTACACAGGACAAATAGCTCAAAATATGGTCCTGTCGGCTGCACACATGATGCTCTGCTGCCACTTTACAGGCCATAGCATTACTTACAGAAAACTCAGCAATTTAAAACTGGCCCATTAAGTGCCTAATATCCAATGAGTTCAAGGTCTGACAAAAACACTACATAAAAATACATTGAATGATAGTCCTTACCCTGAAGGCCTGCCTTCCTCCTCAACTTTTTTTGCTCTGCTAAGAGTAATTCAAGAAGTTAACTTAAGAACACTATAATGTAACTCTTCCATCTGAAGCACGACTTTTATTCATCACGGCTCACATAAAGCAAACAATTACAGTTCACATGGAAAAAATAACACATCAAAGGCCTCCCTCATTTTAGAGAGCTTCTGCTTTAAGCCAACATGCCTCTTAGGCTGGAGAAAGCTTTTCTGGCAGGATTGCCGAAGCTCAGCTTCAAATTATGTCCAGAGAGAAAATGTTTTAAGAAGCTACTTCGATTGGAACTCCCAGCAGCCATAAATCTGCATCTAATGGAACTAAATTCATCACAGAATTAAAATATTTTGCAGTGATTTCCCAGTAAGTGTCGATTTCTTAAGATTTTTGCAGCACAATAGTCCATTTATCTAAAAAACAAAGATAGTTCCAAGATGATTATATATTTAGTTAAGCTTTAATATGAAGACAGATTATTTTAAAAACTAGAATAGGGTAAAAAAGAAAAAAAAGAGTAGAGATTTTTGTCTTAGAAAGAAGCACCGACTGACAGCTCAATACCCTTGAATTACAGCAGCTGCAACCACTTGTGATGTATTTTGGCATTCCAAATTAAACGTATCCCAAAAATAAACTGAAATCATCACTCACATCTTCATGAGTATAATATCCAACAGACCTATAGAAATTTCCACTGCTTTACTGTCTTAACACCTACAGTTTCCTTTTCACACTTGCACAGTGGCACTATGCCATATGTTTATTAGCAGCTGTTAAACATGCCCTTCAGTTGAAGCATGTCAAGTCAAGAATACGTGTCTGTTGTCTGTAAGATAAAGGCTGAAAGATCTCTACCAAGTTTCATTAAATCTAAGTGGCTTTGCTGCCTCATTATGTACGTTGGAAATATGGTTAGGGTACAAATTACCTACTTTTGTTCCAAGTATCTGGGATCACAGCATTAAGGGAAAAATGGGGCTATTGTTTTGGCATTAATTTAAACATACATATCGAGACAAATTCAAGTGCTATTATAAGTGTGAAAGGACATGGAAATTAAGCATAAAAGCAGAAAGAAAACAGAGATTCTTAATCAGATTTTCGATAAAGCGAGTGTAAACCAAAAGTGCACCACAAAGAAAATTACACTGACTCTTGAAAAACTGCATTTCCTTCCCTTGTGAGAAGTTTTTAACTGAAATTCAAGTGCACAGGGATGCATCCAGTACAGTTCTCCACTTAAAAACACCAATCTCTGAACAGCTACCTTATAGAAGCTTACTTTGCCCAAACCTTATCTTTAGTACAGTACAAAAGAACCACTGACACATCTCATCCATCCTACTGCTTCCTTTGTTATTACAGTTACTACAAATATTTTTTTTTTCTTAAACTGCTAGTGGTATAAAAGCAGAGGCTCATTTTTATAAAGATTCCCATAACAATGAAAGGTTAAATACTTACGTTAACTTTTAGGCTACTGCGACACAAAAGCCAATGTTCTGTTCTCCCCCCCCCCCCCCCCCCCCCCCAGTATTTAAGTCTTACAACAGACTAAGGATAGGAAGACAGAACGAAAAAACTAGCAAGTTTAGTAGAAAAAACTGCTTGGAATGGGGTTTATTTATGCATAGCTTAATGGAAGAGAAAAACTTCCAAGCATGGCATGAATTAGCAACATCTAGTGACACAGGAGGCTATGAAATGACAGGACATACCTTTACAGATGATCTTTCACAACTCAAAGTATTAGAAACTAGGCAACAAGCTGGTAAGGAATATACTGCAGTAACATTAAACGAAAAGAATATTTTCAAAGATATAAAGAGCCGAAAGAAACTAAGAATGAAAGTTTCAAAATTAGAAACTAGCTGTTTAAAGCAAGTTTAGCTATAATACTGGAGAGTGAATAACAAACCCCAGATCGGAGGAAACCGATAAGATGACCTACTGTCATAACATGCCTGTAAATACACATAACATGCCTTAAAAATACACTTACTGAAAAGGCAGTATTCCTCACTTTGAATTCTGTATTTGTAAATCAAAAAGTATTTTAGATAACTGATATTTATGCACCATTAAGGTTCTCCTTGTAGTCCTGCAGTAGTTTCACATAAAACTTGCATACCTTTTCCAACTAGCTCTAAGAAAACCTACGTCCCCCAAACGTTCTGTCATCCTGAACATCACCTAAACATTAGAATAGCAGCTCTTGTCCAAGGTACCCTGAGCTCCTTAAAGCACTCAATTAAAGCTCAATTTAACTACAGCACTACAATTCAGACTCCAGAAACGTCTATACAACAAATGTGCGTGTTTTAATTAAAAGCGAGCTCTAAATAAGGAAAGACAGCATGATTGGGGCTTAATTCTGGCTAACAGCTCGTGTTTAACCTAACAGTTCAACTACTAGCCTAACCTGAAGCACCTCAGCTTGTGCCCACTGGCAAGTTTAACGCCAGCTTGGGGACTGAAGTTTTGCAGGGTAGATATCCTCAGGAGGACAGGCTGCAGAAGGCTGGGGGTTCAACACGTGTACTCTAGAGGAGCTTTTCATCCACGTATGTTCTAGGAGTTACCCCTGCCTTATTTGTAAAAGCAGCCAAGGAACACAAGGATTTTAAGTTCGGTGGGGAGCTTGGAAGAGTTTCACTAGTCCTACAGCATCAGAGGAGGAGAGCTGGCATCTTAACGTGGCTTTCAGGAAACCACATGTTTATCTCGAGCACCCACCAAGCCACTGCAGATTTCTTGCTCAGTAACTCAATATAAAGCAAGGCAACCGGGAACAAGATTTAAGCGAGGTCTGTCTCGACGACACAGTCGTGCTTTTAACGCACAGCGGCCATACCGTTACCAAGAGCAGAGTAATTCCGATTTCACGCCGGCGAGTACGGGTTTCAGATGCCGTGGTTGGCCGGACACTGCCCTCCCCTCCCCGGGACCGCAGGAGGAAGTTGTAACAAGTGTTTTTAAATCAGTGCTGCAACACTGCCGTTCGTACGCAACTCCTTCCCACACCGCCGCCTTATCTCGGCCAGATAAACCAGATAAACTAATGAAAACGGCACTGGCTAACCTCCCAAGGGGTAACGCTCACCAGGTACGGCCGGGGTTGATGCAAACCCTGCCGGGGCCCTGCCCGCCCGGACCCCGCGGGGAACTCACCCCAAAGGGGGG